TAGAAAATAATATTTACATACCGGTTTAAATGTTGGTCTTAATTTTGCAAGTTTCTCCACAGTCGTTCCAAATTTTGGGAATTCATCCTTAGATACAACGATAGATTCTTTTTTACCTGCAATGGTTACCGGAATAATTTCTTTGTCGAAATATCCAGCATTAATAGCAGTCTCTGCCTTCTGCTGAGATTTACTCGCATAGCGGTCCTGTGCCTCTCTACTTATTGCATATTTTTCAGCAACATTTTCAGCTGTCAGAAATGTAAATAATAAAAAGATGTATATGATAACACTTGTATAAAATTTTAAATTTTATAGTAGAAATTATATCCAGTTGTAATATTTTTATTTTACCTGTGATTGTCATATGGATATTATAGAAAGCATCTATTAAACCATCATTCATTATTGTATCAATTAAATCACAATTCCCTATTTTTATACCATTCCTGAGGTAAATGGCATGCGGTGCTCTGCTCATGCTTTCTTGACCACCGGCCACAATTATATCACTTTCTCCTGATTTTATGGAAGAATAACCATTTATTACAGACCTATAACATATTTACATAATGGATTATAGAGTTTTATGTTATTCAAAATACATTTTATTGCGTGGTTAAGTATGGATATATTGTACAACATATTATAGATTGTGCGTACTGTAGGCCAGAGCCACATAACATCCCAGTAAGCATATGTTTATTTGATAAGCAGGAACATCAATAGGTATGCCAGCATTGACTGCTGCTTGTCTTGCAGGGTTTGGATCTTCTCCTGTAGCAAGTACCTGAAAATATGCGTTAGCAAATGTATGTATATTTTAGATGTATATAAATTTAGATAAATTTGGAAATATATGCGTTCTATTATTTCTAATCTATACAAATTAGATACCTGTCCTATAATGACTTCAGAAACTTCTGTTCCTTTTAATCCAACTCTTTTCAGACTTTCCTTAATAACAATGCTTCCCATTTCTGACGCTTTCAAGGAAGATAAGCACCCACAGAATGATCCTACAAAATAAAAAAATTGTATTATTATAAAATTTTATATTTGGATTTTATTGCATTACTACAAAATTATTTTAAATAAATATTCAAAAATAAGCTGAATTTTGTTTTTGTGTTTTGATGCATCTTAATATACTATATACAGAATGAGAAAAAAGTATGGAAACCCTGAAAAATTTCGAAAAATATAAATTTTACAGAAAATTGTTTCAAATAAAAGTTGTGGGGTTTAAGAAGATCTATTTACTGATCTTCATCAGTTTGGGTTTGGACGGCGTCGCTACCCATACAGCACAGAACATTGCAATTACATTGCAGTAATGTTACAATCTTACAAGTTTTTTTGTTGAACAGTATAATTACATACTTTTTCTGGAAAACAACTATTTTTTTATATAAATTGATCTGTCTCATTATTCTGTACATAAAAGTATTACGGTAAGATTATCGAAAACTAAATATTTTACGCGATATTTTATTTTTTATATAAAAATATGTCAGATTAAGATATAAAATAATTCGAAAAATACTTAATGAAAAAATACTTTATTATAGTGTTTTGAAAAGGTCTCGAGAAGGGCTACAAGAATATGTAATAAAAAATAAGGCTTTCCATTTTAAAAATTCAAGGTGACCTTGTCCTGACCTTATTATCTCTCAGTAAATAGATTTTTTTAAACCCCACAACTTTTATTCGAAACAATTTTCTGTAAAACATATTTTTCGAAATTTTTCAGGGTTTCCGTACTTTTTCCTCACACTGTACATATAAATTTTTTGCAATATTATTACATTATATTTTATAAAATGTTACTGTTATTTTACAATTGTAATATAGTATTCTATGTGTGTATATATGTATACATATATAACTTGAATGAGTTTATAAGACATTTTAATTTTTATTGTTTATATTCGGAATAATTTAAATAGCACAACATATTTTACAATTTTGCTTTTGTAGTTTAAATTCTGCAATAATTTGTACACTTTGATAACTTGATCAAATTACTGCACTTAATTTTATTGGCAAGTATTACATATCATTCCTCGTTTGTTACCTATGGGTGTCCTAACAGCCGAGACAATCATAACACTACGATCATTCATTTTTACGAATTGCGAATGAACACCAAACTCTACGAAAAACGCACGAAGACTGCTATCTTTAAGGCCATCGCACGTTAAAAAGTTGTAGTCGTAATCGTAAGACCATAAGCATCGACCAATCATAATCAAGCATTCTAAAGCGTAATAAAAATGTTTGAATTATAATTAGTCGATTTGCTTATGGCCTTACGATTACGACTAAAATTTTTTCACATGCAATGGCCTTTATGCCCGGTCTACAATGAATTGTTAATTGTTAGTCGTAAGCAAATTGATCAACCATAGTCTATTATTTCAAGAATATTCTCGGAATAATCGACTATAGTTGGTCAATTTGCTTACGACTAACGACTACCCAGCAAGCAAAATGATGCAAACTTTGCAGCAAACCCGAGCTTGCCGTGCACGGCATGACAACAAATTTGTGGCAAGAATAGGGCAAATCTTGCCGTGCACGGCATGACAACAAATTTGTGGCAAGAATAGGGCAAATCTTGCCGTGCACGGCATGACAACAAATTTGTGGCAAGAATAGGGCAAATCTTGCCGTGCACGGCATGACAACAAATTTGTGGCAAGAATAGAGCAAACCTTGCCGTGCACGGCATGACAGCAAATTTGTGGCAAGAACAGGACAAACCTTGCTGTGCACGGGATGACAGCAAATTTGTAGCAAGAATAGGGCAAACCTTGCCGTGCACGGCATGACAACAAAGTGGCAAGAATAGGGCAAACCTTGCCATGCACGGTATGATAGCAAAGTAACAAGATCAGAACAAACTTTGCACTTTGCTCTGTTCTTTCCGTAAATGTGTTATCATATCGTGTACAATAAGGTTTGCTCTGTTCTTGTCGTAAATTTGCTATTATAGAGTGTATAACAAGATTTGCTACTAATTGATGTAAAGTTTGTGTTACACCGTGAATAGCATCATACGTGTTCTTCTATGCGTAAAATTTACGGGCAAGCCTTTTTCTATTATTTACAGCATCGTGAGACGAAAAATTTTGCCGTCAATTTGCTTCAAACTTTTTGACAAACCAAAACAAGACAAATGGTTGCTACACAATTGTTGTCAAAATTAAAGCACACCTTGTCGCAAAACTTTGGCAAAACGTGATTTTAACATTCTTGGCTATCTGGGTAATGACTCATTATAGACCGGGCTTTAGACTTTACACTGCTTAACTGGAATTTATTGGCTACGTTCCGTCACACGTTTCATGCATGATGCGCGCATGACGCATTATACTTATCCTTCTTGTTCATCAAATGTTAAACAAAGATAAGTAAAAAAAGGATAAGTAATGCATCATGCGCATTATGCATGAAACGAAACGCAATCATTATATAACTGGTGATTATAGCGACGGACGACACGTATGTCAGGAGCGGAGTCGTGAAAATAAAGATATCCAACGGAGACGAGAAAAAACTCATTGTAATTGCGTAAATTTATAATCTTTTTTTCTTATCTCTCTTGAATGTCTTTATATATTCTCAAAGATATTTAAAATGTTTTTTTTTAATAACATTACAAATATAAAATCAAGAATCAAAGTAAAATGGCAAAAGAGCCACGCACAGTTTTTTGGGGCGCAAAGGTATATATTTTAAACCAAAAAATTAAAAAAAAAATAAATCAATTACATGATTCGCGAAAGGCGGACGTTTCGGCCCTTTTTTTGGCCCTCATCAGCGCAAATAATAATAAAATTAACAATATAAACGGCATACAAAATGAGTCTTAAACAGTTAAAGCGCAAAGTTACATGATAACCGATGATAGAAGGCGTAATCTCTTATGTCGCTCCAAAAGGCAAAAACCATTCTCCATGTAGTCCATGTTATTTCGCGGCAGAAACCTCGATTCTTTAAGCGTAAATCCAAGAACATGGTGAATTGTGTCTGTAATATGAGCGGAGTGGACGCGAAATAACATGGACTACATGGAGAATGGTTTTTGCCTTTTGGAGCGACATAAGAGATTACGCCTTCTATCATCGGTTATCATGTAACTTTGCGCTTTAACTGTTTAAGACTCATTTTGTATGCCGTTTATATTGTTAATTTTATTATTATTTGCGCTGATGAGGGCCAAAAAAAGGGCCGAAACGTCCGCCTTTCGCGAATCATGTAATTGATTTATTTTTTTTTTTAATTTTTTGGTTTAAAATATATACCTTTGCGTCCCAAAAAACTGTGCGTGGCTCTTTTGCCATTTTACTTTGATTCTTGATTTTAATTGTTTAAGAGCCTTATTTTTATATCTTTTTTATTACAAATATACTTTTTTCTCACTTACGGTACGCCGGATTTCAGTTGGAACCCTGCTAATTTTAACCGTCGGTTAATCTAACGGGACTTGGTGAAATTGGCCCTATATAGGACTCTAGGCGTTTAGAATCAGTACTTAACGTAACGTAATGCATTACGGAAAAGCTTGTGCGGTGGCCCTTACTCTTCCTTCATGGACATTATTTAAGACGGTCTTGAAATAAGAACTGACTACATAGACATAGTATATCTAGGCTGCGGTCCGAAACAAGCTTACAGCGCTAACAGCATGTTCACAGCCGGTCCGATTCACGCTTGCAGTGTTCTAATGAACAAAGTGGCGCAAGGGGCACGAAACAGAGTATGTCCTTTTCTATGTGCATCTTTATCCCCACTTCTTAAATAAAGGCAAACGCTAGATATACTATGTCTATGGTCTAGATATACTATGTCTATGGTCTAGATATACTATATCTATGACTGACTATGAATACCGGCCTAGGACTCTAATGTAGGTTTAGAGAGGAAACTCTAGACTAATTAGATAGCAGATGTGTTCGTTGTAGCCGCATTTTCTTGCATTCTCTTTCGGCATTTAAAATAAAACGAATAGACCTAACATATGATAACATTTTTCATGTGTGTGTGTGATTGTCAATGTTGAGCAGTGTCTTTTTCAACGTCTCTCGGTCCGTCTACGGAATAACACGTAAAAATTTTTGTACGAAAATGGCAAAGAAAACCGCAATTTTGCTAATTGCCGATGGAACGGAAGAAATGGAAGCCGTGATAACTGTCGACGTTCTAAGACGTGCCGGGGTACGTTATCTTAGATGATTAACACGTCTCGTAGTGTCTGTGAGAATCTGTATATAATATTCTGTATATAATATTCCCTGGAAAATAAAAATCATACGATGTATATATTATTTTTATTCTTTTATTATAATCTCTTTCATAAAAATATTGCGTACTTGCATATCAATGTTTGATAATTGTGAGGATCTTAATTGTTTTTATATCTTGCTTATTACTAATTGCATGTGTGATATAAAAATAAATTTATATTTATTGGAATAAGTGATATTTTTTGCTAATTTAATCAACATAGAATAATTGTTAAATTTTGATGTAATGATTATAATTATTGAATAGATTGCTGTCACCATAGCTGGTCTATCTGATGGTAACTGTATGAAATGTAGCCGTGATGTTAAGATCTGTGCAGATGCTAATTTTGCTGATGCTACTAAGAATCAGAAGTATGATGCTGTCATATTACCCGGTGGTCTCGGTGGATCTAAAACATTTGCATCTGTAAGATTACTTAAGAGTATTTTGTGTATTATAACATATAATTATCTAAAATTAATATTCTCATTAGTCGGCAGAAGTTGGAAAGCTATTACAAGAACAAGAGAAAGAAAACAGATTGATAGCAGCTATCTGCGCAGCTCCAACAGCTTTGAAGGCTCATGGTATTGGCAAAGGAAAACAAATTACTTCTTATCCAGCCATGAAAAATGATTTAATCGATGAATATAAGTATCTAGAGGAAAAAGTAGTAACAGATGGTAATATTTTTTTACCATATATTTATTATCAAGTACATCTAGTTTTATTCAAATTGATATTACTTTCGATATTTTTATAGGTAATCTTATAACGAGTCGAGGACCAGCGACTGCCTTTGCTTTTGGCTTAGCTATCATTGAAAAATTATTAAACAAGGAAACAGCTAGTACAGTGGCAAAAGGAATATTGTATGATGACTACAAATAAACTTGTCTATTTTATATATAAGTTGCTATATACGTAAAATAATCATTATAAATTTTGTGCGATATATTTTTGGCTTTAGGAAGATAATGTTTATTCATATATGAATGCATATAATATATAATAAATAAATTTTACATAATAAAAAGCAAAGTAAATAAAAAAAATTTAATGTAAAAAAAAATCTTGAAAAATATTTTTAATAGAAATAATTTGAGAAATAAATTATAAGAAATAATATTGTTATCTTCCTCGACTTTTCATCATAATTGTTTGATAATACAGAAATATACATGAGGAAGAAAGATAGAGTGCAACTATATCGAGCGGGAAGCTTAAAGACCTTCTCTTCTCTTCTTCTTTCAATACGGCCAGAACCTAGCGTATAATGTATACGGAAGTGGCGTTAAGGTGCCATTACATGGCAGCGTCGAGCGTCATCTGCGTCTGCACAGAAATCATTGCGCAGGAATCTGAATGAGATAGATTTCAGCTTCTTGCGGCTAATAGCATGATGAGTGATATGAATTCGATCAAGATAAAAAAAATTATGTTCTGATACACATTACTAATACTGAAAATTGATATTTATTTACATTATACACAATAGATATTATTATTATTAAACAAAATATACATATATAAAACGTTACTATTCCCCAGCAGAATATTAGAATCTAATCAAGGGATATAATTTTTATAATTTTTTTTTCTCCATGTTATTTATAACATATTGCTCCTTTAAATAATTTCCTACTTTTAACAATAGTTTTTCAAACTGTGTCATTTTGTCATTTGTGAAACCCTGTTTGTATCTTATTTATTTGAATATTTCAACCATCCAAAATCTATTACTGCACTTGAATTCACACACACACACACATCTATTATATAATAAAATAAATGAAATAAGTATAATTCTGGGCAAGTAATATTCTGCGCAGACGCTTAACGCTCGACGCTTGATGCTGCTATGTAAAGGTGCCTTTACATGGCAGCGTTAAGCGTCGAGCGTCTGCGCAGAATTTAAACGAGATAGATTCTAGGCTGAAATTAGATTCTGCGCAATTCTCTGCGCAAACGCTCGACGCTGTCATGTAAAGGCACCTTAAAGGTACCTTTAACAAAAATAAAAACAAAAATCCTCTTAGAAGAGGAGAAAGTCCAAAAAATAAGATCTAAACAAAGGACACACGTGCAACACGTCAAAACACGTCCGTACTCGACCCACTCGACCAAGGCCGCAACGGAAGTTAAGCTTAAAGACCGTATCAGACTACGCATTGAAAATTGAAAATTGAAGATTAAAGATTGGAATTTGACTAATCAGAACAAAAGAGACTAAAATTTCTTTGTCCTGGTTGGTCAAATTTCAATCTTCAATGCGTAGTCTGATACGGGCTTAATGATTCCGCCATCAACTATAAGAACGGATTCACACCTTGGCAGAAAAGCAGAATGTACTGCTTATTTTCAGCGCGAGTTCTGATTGGCTTCTGCTTTTCTAGCACGAGTTCTGATTGGCTTCTGCTTTTCTGCCAAGGTGTGAATCCGGCCTAACTCTGGACAACATATAGTACACAATCCATATTCTCATCCATAGATTAGTATATCTAGACCGAGCGTTTGCCTTTATTTAAGGAGTGGGGGTAAAGATACACGTAGAAAAGGACATACTCTGTTTCGTGTCCCTTGCGTTCTTTCTCGCTCGCACAGAGCATAGCGCTCTCTTTCGTCATGCTACGTGCGAGCGAGAGAGAACGCAAGGAGCACGAAACAGAGTATGTCCTTTTCTACGTGCACCTCGGCTCCCACTCCTCAACACTCGGTTTGGATATACTATGTCTATGTTCTCATCACTCAATGAATTTACAACTTACAACCGGCTTTGGAAGTTGGACGACGCGCGATATTATAGACACGATGAGGGACGATTAGAGCGCGTGCGTGCGGCGCGTCAGTAATGCCCGGTTTAGAAGAGAGTATTTCGCACGACACGAGTCCACCACCCACGCGCGCCCTAATGTCCGATGGGGATCATGCAGTGACCGAGCAAGTGAAAAAATACGTCTTCAAATCGCGAAAGACGCAAAATTGTGCGCAAGGCGACGAGGGCGAGGAGAGCTTGGAGATTCGTATTCCAGAGGTGAGAGGAAACGATCAGTGTGGATATCGTGCGACTTTACGGCCGGCTAATTCCCGGTGAACGCGAGCTACCGGTGTTACGTGCTGTTTGGTTAGATCGTTCTTCGAGGCGAACGATTTCACTAGCGAGAGAATCTGTATTGAGATCCGTCTCGTACAAAATTATTATATATATTTGCTTCTTTGCTTCCTCTATACGATTCGCATCTTTCTTACCGTTTCTGTCAATATCGTAGAACTTTTCATTATTATTAATGTACTCAATATCCATTTAGTATCCATAGCGATAACACGTGTTTACATGTAATGATCTACTTACAATTATTAAAATATTAAAGCAAGTATCTCTAAAGATATTATTTATAATTTAGACTTTGTTTTCAAATTATATTATAGGATACTTTTATATATTGTTATAGGATGAGAATATTTTTAGCACGGATTATTATATAACTTAGAATTGCAAAAAATTAAGCTTTTAGATATATTAGATAAGTAATTTTTAGAAAACAACTTCAAGAATGAAAACAAACATTTCATTACTAATTGCAGTTGCTGCAGGCTAATTATAGCTTTTACACTTGGCCTTGTGCGCGTGTGCTCGCCTGGTACCTCTGGGAACACAGGGAAAATCTGCTCGGCAAGCGTGTCTTGGAGATTGGTGCTGGTACTTCGTTACCTGGTATTCTTGCAAGTAAATGCGGCGCAATTGTGACCTTGAGTGATTCTGCAAACCAACCAAAAACTCTACAGCACATTAGAAGGTGTTGCGAATTGAACGGAATTGCAGATCAGGTACGAATCGTTGGCATCACCTGGGGCTTCTTTCTGTCCAGTTTGTTTTCGCTTGGACAATTGGATTTGATTATTGGTTCAGATTGCTTCTACGAACCCACCGTGTTTGAAGATATAGTGGTCGTCATAGCTTTTCTATTGGAGAAGAATCCACATGCGAGGTTCCTTTGTACATATCAAGAGCGCAGCGCCGATTGGTCCATAGAGCATTTGTTGAATAAGTGGGGACTCTCGTGTATGCACATAACGTTGGATAATCTTGGTGCAAATTCCAACGTTAATATACACGAATTGATGCAGGATCATACGATACATCTGTTGGATATACATCGGGAATAAACGAGTAAATCATTCACCTGCCATGGCTGGTAATGGTTTCATGAAATATATGATTCATGTTGCTAATATTCCCTGGACAGTAGGTCGTCACCAGCTTGCTCTATACTTCTCTCAGTTCGGATATGTGCACGATGCCACTGTAGCGTTCGATAAACAAACTGGTCTCCATCAGAATCATGGATATGTAACATTCTTGAAGAAACAAGATATGGATTCAGTGTTTGATTGTAAGCATTCTTTGGAGGGAAAAGATTTAATCTTGTCTGTAAAGAAATACACCGATAACGATAATAACGGTAATAGTGCTTAACTGAAAGACATTGCAAATTTGTAAATTGAGATGGCCGGGAGCGATTCTAGTATAACTGATCTGGAGGAAACCTTCAATAGAGCTGCCAAATATCTGCAAACATTGGTATCAGAATTAGATTCGGGTCAATTACTTGGATTTTATGGTCTGTATAAACAAGCGACTATGGGTCCTTGTGACATACCGAGGCCCAATTGGTATCAGATGCAAGCTAAGCACAAATGGGAAGCGTGGAAAAATCTCGGGGATATGAGCCGCGAGACCGCGATGGCCAATTACATCCATGCTATCGCAAAGATAAATCCGTCGTGGGAAGAAGAGGCGACAGCCGAATCTGCAGGATGGACATCCGTTAGCAAGTTATCTAATACAGATGCGGAATTGAGAGATGCCGATAAGACGTTCTTGGATTGGGTCAAAGAAGGCAACGAGGCGAAGGTGCGAGAAATATTAAACGGCGAACCCACGCTCGTGAACACGCTGGATGAAGATGGTTTGTTACCTATACACTGGGCCGCGGATCGCGGTCACGTAGGAATCGTACAATACTTGATCAGAAGTGGTGCGAATGTCAATTCACAAGATCGGGATGGACAAACGCCTCTTCACTATGCGGCAAGTTGCGGTCATGCGGAAGCAGTGAAGTATTTACTTTCGAGTGGAGCTCAAACTATAGCGGATAACGATGGTATGACACCTAAAGACGTCGCCGATGAGCATCTTGCAGCTCTTTTATAATACTATACTAGTGTATATATATATGTATATATATATATATATATATATATACATATATACGCTCTATGTAATAACACGATTGTTATTATGTTTGCATATATTAATAAATCCAGTGGATTGATAATCTAGAAGTGCTTTAATCCATTCGCCGCGTTCTAATAGAGAGTAAATCTTTATTTATGTACAAATAACTCGTCTAATAGTCCATTACATTCACAGCCTAAGCATACCTTGGGTAAATGCGTGATTTGTCATTGGCTAGATTTTTATAAATTTAACTCGCTGCTTAATTAATATTGTGAACAATACAAAATAATTTCGAAATAATTCCATATATTTAAAGCGCTCACGAAAATTTGTAGAAATGCAAATCTAGCATTCTTCTTCGACAGAACGAAGTGCAATAAACTCGGGATCTTTTAGGTACATTACGAATTTTATTTGAATCTATAAAATAGCACAGTGAAAATTTCTGAGAAATAAAGTTTAGAAAATTTTATATTACTTAATTGTAAATTATAAAGTTTATTTATATATTATTTTGGAAAAGAGAGAAAACTAACAAAGATGATTGCATTAATATCGTATAATAATTGTATATAACTGATAAATATTCTGTTGTAGATACATATCTGATATTTATAGACTCAACTGGCATGATTATCTTAGCCTGATAATCCAAGATCACAAGTTCATTGCATACAATTGTAAATATTCCGTGATGTAAACATAAAAATTAATGTTTAACTATATTAAAAGAGTTCTTTTTACTTTTCAGATGTTAACAGTAATCCAGAGTCATGCATCAAATCGATTAAATATAAGGCGCCGATACGCTAGTTTTTTTTTCAGCATTTTATAACGATTAACAAACAATCTTCACTAATAAATATCACCCGTTGATTCAATTCCAATATACTGATCATATCAGTTCTTTCAAACATTAACTCGTTTTTTCCCTTTTAAAATGGACGTATTAATTAAAAATTTATATTTTAAACGCTGATGTTATTTAACGTTTTGCAGACTAAAGTTTATTCTGTAATAACACTTCAACTTTATATATTGAGCACACTTTGTGCACTTCAATATTTACAATAGAAATGTGATGTAAACTCATATTTTTGTTCTTAGAGCTTGTCTCTTCTTATTCGGAATAAGTATAAAAATTGGTAATAAGCTGCAAAAATATCATGATTACGAAATTAGATGTATACCTAAAATTGGTTTGGATACAACGCATGGCGTGCTAAAAGCTGCCAAGTGCAAAACGCTTTCTAAACGTCCAAATGCATACTTATGTGGATCTTCTTGTTACCATATAATGGCAATTCTCAAAACGCTCTTTTCATTAGATTATCCGTTGGAATACGATAAGAAGTCGTATAAATAGGGAGATCACGGGAAAAATAGAGTAACTTTGTCCGAATATTATCAAATCTATGAATATACTCGCCTCGTTTTCAATCCTCGATGGACGAATGCGATGTTTCTCTATATAAATACAATCATGATACTTCTTATCAATCGAAGATTTTCAGTAACTTTTTGTCCATGTAGATTTCATTGGTGATATCATACGTGTAAAACGTCTTTAAAAATAAAGACATCTGCAATATCTTTCAAGGTCGCGATTGTCTCTTGCACTTCGTATCGAGCTCCATTAGAGATTAGTGCTTTCTTGTTCCGATTTAGGCCTTGTGGTAGGCGGTGGCGGTGGCGGTGGTTGCGGCCTCGGCGGTCGCTGATGAACTCTTGGCGAAGCTGGCTTCTGCTGCGGCGACTTGAGAATCGTCACCACTGTGTTGGTCTGTGTTTGAACGTCCATAATATTACCTTCCGATCTAGTTCGTACGTGCGCCTTGGTTTGTTCGTGCGGCGTATCCAGCTTCTCAAGCTTCTCCGAACGTTCAGCACCATATAATGACATTGACGACGGACGGCTACCCACACTTGGACTTCTCTGCAAGTTCGAAGTTGCCGTGTTGCCAGTGCTCTCCATGCCCGGGATGACGTTGTTCCCCCCACGAACTTGTATTATACTGACCTGCTGTTTGTCCACAGAGTACACATGAGCCCTTTCCAGTGTTAAAGGCTGTAAAGAATTTAACGAGAACACTTAATTTTGTGGAAGTTACCGCGTAACAAGATATATAGATTTTATATATAAAATAGAGAGCATATATACATGTGTGAAAAAGCTTTGGATCAGATCAGTGTGCTATTTTTACTTCAAATATAGCTTACGTTATTTCAAAATGTAATACCCAGGCAGTTATTTGTTGTCCACTTGTAGTAACTACATTTGTTACAAATGATTATCACATATGTGTATAGAGAGATAAAACTTTAACTACATCAAATTCTTTTTACTCACCCCTGGATCTGTTTCTAGATTATCATTAGTGGGACGCGGCTGTCTAATGAGGCTCGATGGACGAACTAAACCAGGTGGTCGTTCAGGAATCGCTGGTTTACCGCTTCTTTCATTTAGAGACACATGCATATTCGTAACATTGCTGTCTGATTTTTTACGTAATTCAACGACTTCTTCTGTAATAATCAGATATAGATTAACATCACAGCAAATATGAAAGGATAATACATATAAATTAATATACATATAAAATAACATTAAGAAAAATATTTCACCTGTGTTATGCACAATATTTGTTATACTTCTTGGTGCCGCAACTGGTCTTCTCCTTTCTAATGTGGAGGGTTTTTCTGTAGGCACTGGTTTTGGTTTCTGCATTATAATTTCACTATGCTCGATTTCTGTAATTATCTTAGCAACATTATCGGACGAGTTTCCATTTGGTTTCTCCTTTGCACTTGGTATATTTACTTTTGTATCATATCTTTGCAGTTCTTGGGTACTTTTTTCCACGTCGTGGAAGACTTCATTTTGGGAAACGCCGGTTTCCTGTAACCGTTCGGGATTATCAACAAAATGAATTGATTCCGTCGGTATCGATTCCGAAATTGATTGCGACTTCGTATCCGTTTCCGCATGTTTGTCATGCTTTTCTGTATTGCTTTCGTGTCGTATCAATTCGGTGTTTACTTCGTGCTTTTGTGCTTTATATGTCGATCGATTTAGAGTAGATGTCAACACTCTCGGTGGTTTGTCCGGCGTCGGGGGCGGCTTGTCGTCTCTTTTCTCATGCCTGTCCGGAGTATTGCCACCTGGCGGTGTTGGTGCCGGTTTATTCTTTCGACGCGCCGCTGGTTTCGGACTGCCTTGCGTTGGACTTTCGCCGTGATCACTAAGACTACAATTGGACACACAACGGCGCATACCAATACTCTGACTTTCCGTATCATTTATAATGCCGATCTCTAGATCGAAATCCACTTCGCCAGGGAAGAACCAATCTGCATATGTAATTAATTGGTCTACTATAAGACTAGAGTTGTTCGCTGTACTCATATTCATCCTGCAATCATGACAAGAGTATATTTTTAATAACACAATATTGATAAATATATAATGTATATAAAATTACTTACACTATCGTATTTGCGTCCTCTTGCGGACTCCAAATCAGATTTGGTGCAATGACAATAGCGATGTTTTGCGGTGTCATTTTATTTACATCTTGATTCTTTGTGAGCACAGCTAAGAACTTAATTAAAAACCGCAAGTTTTCCAAGTTTGCTGGTGGCAATTTATATAATACCTCCCAAAGAGCTCGTAACCTCGTGTCATTATGCGTGATTTTTGCCGCAGCCATCCATTCATGATACAATCTGAATAATTATAGATACATTATGTACTGAATGATAATAAGTACTGTGGTCTTGATTAAAAATAATCGATACTTACTTGTACGTCAATAGAGGCTCCGGTAATTCGCGTAAGTATGATTTCAACGCGCCGGCAATAACATGTGGATCTTTGTATTCAAGGGCTGTCGCTAAAGTGAGACAACAGGCATCTAGACTTAACTTAATTCGTCGCGATTTCGACGCGGCACCAGCTATTCTAAAAAGACCTTCCTCCTCTATACCCAAACGCAATAGTGCGGATACACATAATTGTATGGGCAGTGCGATTTTTCTATTTGTCACCCTAAGATGTTCTTCCAGAGGATATCCATAGACTGGCTTCATTTCGTTATCATCTGCAATTAATCATTTTATATTTCATTTGTGCTTACAAGTTATTAGTTTGTCAAAAATTTTCCTTATGATAAAAACATTTCTATAACTGTATATGGTTTTGAAAAACACATGAAACTTACTAATATAACTCTCCAATCCAGGTATAAGATCTTCAAGACAATGCAATGCGCTTTCGTGATATGCTCGCTGAAGTTTTATATATTGGATAATTGTTTGAGCTAGTTCAGTCTCTCGCGACATAAGCTGAAACATCTCTGCAGCCAATTGATCTCTGCATTGTTCAACTTTTGATTCGGCATCTTCTAATTCCTCCTTCAAATTATCTATCTTTGTTGCACCTGTACCTATATAACATATCAAATTTTTATTTTTCAGATTCATAGTAATCTTATAAATTACATTGTATATTTATATACTTGCTTTATGCAAGATAAATCGGGAGGAAATAATAATAATGTGGATAAAAGAAATAAAATTTAAATTTAATATTGTTTATATGCTAATTGTTATAAACTTTTTGAACAAAGATTTGAAATTTGATGATTATTACCAGTGCTGTGTTTAATTGCTTGAAAATATCTTGTTCTAGCACTGTCCATATCTAAAATATGACGTGCTAAATTCCTTTTATGCTTTAATATATTTGGTACATCGGTATCTAAAATATGCTGCAACGGGGCAGCTACATATTGCTCGACTTTTGCCTCATGTTCTACAGTTTCATTAGCCAGTGACATTTGTACTCGCCCACATTCTACTAATGCAAAACTCATGAGGCCATCTTCACCAGCATTTTCCAACATGGTTTGCCCGAGTATATACTCAGGGCATTTTTTCTAAGAAATAAAACAAAATTAATATGTGTAAATGCTGTTAAACAATTTTAATAATAAAAGAAATATAGCAATAAATCTTAAATTTTGATATAATGACAATTATCGATAAAATTTATGCTAAATATAGTTAAAATTTTATTCTCATTTATAAATGATCTTATATCGACTGATAAAATTCATTTATTTACCAAACGCTTCTCCTTAAGAGCCTGGTCTTGTGTAATAGCTTGGTTCGGTGGGTTTCCGAGTCTTTTACTGAGACCGGTAAGAGCTGCTCTTATCTGTTCAACATGCTTGTCAGCATCCACCAAATCATCCGTTAATACTTCTGTTCTACCAGCTCTGTTTATATAAGAAATAAAATTTCATTGAAATATTCTATATTTAATTGCAAGAAAATCTTATCTTTTATTTTTTACAAACTCTGTTTTATCTCTTCTAATCTGCTCAATATCCATACGAGTAATCAATTTTGGAATACTTTAATCTAGAATTTATCTTTCTCTTGTGATAATTCATATTTTATTAGTCAAATATAATCTGTCCATAATTTTGACACATCACTCCTAACATAAAATATACATTTATATATAGATCCCTCTTTGCTTGCAATTATAATATTACAAGAGTACAAATATTTTGTAGCAGCAAAAAGTTATTATCCAATTTAAAATGTAATATATATATATATATATATGTAATTGATAAAGAAAGAAGATAATTGAAGATAATTGAAATTTAATGCGATATATAAAGTACGTAGATACGACTTGTAACTGAAGTTTAGGAAGAACGCGATTAATGTGGTTGGCGTCTTTATCTGAGTCAGCTACCTGGAGAAGGTCTGATCGGCGAGCTGTTTCACCCGGAAAAACTGCTTCTTCATGGTTGACCGAGCTGTCGAGACACTAGACACTTAAAATTTGCGGCACTACGCTTCGCGAACCGTCCCGATCCCGCACGCTTTTTCACACACCGATACCTCTCGACTCGTGCTTACGCTCGCGCATTCTTCTCGGCTCCTTCAACGTGTTCGTCGCGCGATACCGATGAGAAAACTCGGCGGAGACAGGGAGGGACTTTCGTGTCGCGGCAAGGGCGAGTGTCCGTCATGATGTTTGTACAATGATCTCATAGCCGGCGCTGAAAACAGATACGTTTACAGTTGATCTATTCTCGTGCACCATCGATAAAATCCAGCGATAAAGTCCGGGACTAGCGCCTTATTTCCACCCGGCGATTTCACTGGATAAATTTGGGTTAAGTAAATCTAACTTTGCACTTTGCTGTCCTTTTATTCCTTTCTTTCTCTCTCTCTCTCTATCTTTCTCTTTCTCTTTCTAGATTATAATAGACAATGAACGAACGTTTCGTTTAGCAGCAACTATCCGGCGCAATCCGGCGACGTTGAGGTTTGGGGCGATTGCCACGCTCTTATGTCATGTCAAAGTACCGGTCGAGCTTTTTAAACGCAATTTTCTTGACGTTTTCCTCTATTTTCCTCGTCGTAAAGTATTGTGAAGTATAGCGAATCGCGGTTTATGTACTACGCTCGTTCCACGACGCGATCAACCTGGAGGTCGCCGTATTAGGCGCACCTTTTCGTGATTCACCAAGCTCCGATATATATTCGACGTTTTTTTTTTTTTTGTTTTTTTTGGGTGTTTTTGGCAACAATCCCCCTCGAATTCCTTTCGCGATAAGGTGACGGCACGGCTAATAAGTCTGTCAAACCCGCGCAAAATCGCTCTCGTCTTCAATCCCCTTTACCTGTGAGACTCGCCCAAGAATCGATTCTTCACTCGCGCGTATCGCATGCATCGTATCGATCGATGCGAGAATCAAGGTGATCGATACGCACGAGTGACTCGATGTTCGATAATCGAGAAGACGATATATCGATCGATCTCTCGCATCATCCGTCGTCAACTTCACGGCTCGCCAGAAGAGTTGTACACAGCGCTGTATTTCACTGTGCGTCGCGCGTTTTCACTTCTACTGGCCCATGTGCCCATGCGATGATCATCTGTCAACGGCAGCGAGGAGCGGAGTCGTTTGCGAGCAGCCGTCTTGATTCTTGATCCGAAACCGCGCGCGAAACGCGAACCTATACGACGATATTATTTTTATTTTGTGACAGGTACGCGAAATTATTCCGCAATCATGGTGACAGATCGACCGTTTTTCAACGTGATAATGCTCAGCGTTGGATTTATGCTGGTCTTCACGGCGTTTCAAACGATGGGCAATATAGAGGTGAGTGTCGATACTGGTACGCATGTTTATTATTAGATTTGTTTTTTGTTAGCTGAACTAGAATGGAATAGAGAATGAGATAGATATATATTTAGAAGAGTTTGAAAGAGGGAAAGGAAAAACGGGAAGTGCAACAAGTTCAGCTAAAAAGGACAAATCTCTATTATTATTATTTACGTCGCATTCTTACATTTCCGTATGCGCACTTTGCGCGCTTTGACCGTTGATAGTTTCACGACACACATCGCAGTATGTATATGTATGTGTTTTCGAAAAACTTAAGAAAATTGAAATCTTGGAGTGGGGAAATTAAATGTATGTCTGAATTAATAAAGATGGAAAAAAATGTCACATTTTGATACAAACGAAAAAATTTTCAGTTTTAAAATAATACTCTTTCAGAAATAAACGTTTTGTAGAGCTATGTTTTTTACCAGATTATATAACAAGTATAAGAATTTTATGTTTTACATTAATAATCGATAAACATCCGCCTTTTTTTCAAATTTATATTTGACGCGTTTGCTTGTGCCAACTTTGAAAAGATCGTTAAAATAAAAACTCAAGTAACAAACTATCAGAGTAAATTTAATGTTAATAAGAAGTTTCAAAGTGATCGATATATATAACACTTGCTTTTATTATATATGTTTATTATCTTATATTATTATATATGTTTATTAAATATATTTATTATATATTTATTACGTTAGTCAGAAATTATTACATTTTACACATTTAAATAATTATTTTTTAAAAATAAATAATAAAAGGAAAAAAACAATTAAAACATAATATATAATTTAAAACAAAAAAAGCAATAAGTTAGTAAATACATAATAAACATCTAGTTTTAATAAAGCATTTTTATAATTTGGACGATGTGGGGATAGAATAATGTGGGGGTCATTGATTTATAACACTATCTTTTATCCCCTTGACACAGTGCAAGCATTGGATTAATGGAACGATTGGATAATGGTGATTAGCATCGTGATTTTGTTTAGCACGTCCATGAAGTACGACGAGCGAAATTTCTATTATATTTAGGTATTCAAGTGCAAGCAATTTGTTTGAATTACTGTTCCATTTTCACTCACATTATAATTTGAGAACGAAAATAAGTTCGAAACGTGCGAATATATAAACATGATTTAATTAGAATAAACAAATAAGAAATCAATTTTGATAAAATTAATATCTTTTTAAGTATTTGAGTTTTGAAATTGAGTGCATCGACGCGACGATGCATATAACGCGATGAAACATTATTGTTTTGTAAAATATTAGAAAGTATAGATTGCGAGGACATTACGCAGTTTAGAAAGTATCACAAAAGGTAAATAATTAACTGGTCACGATCGCCAACTGGTTGGCGAGGTTGGAATGTCTCTAAATTATATAATATTGTTTTATTGATTGCTTTCGGTAGATCGTGAAATGCGTAATTTGTGAAACACGTATATTAAGCACGCTACAATTCTTTACAAAATCTGCCCTTTTTCCAAAGATGAAGCAATGTTTGAGTCAGGTCTTTGACGTTAAAAGATCTTTGAGGTCAATCTATTATCAATGTATTCTTCATTCTCTTATCAACATAAATCTTTTACTAATACGATTTTTCTCGATATTTTGATAATAAGTAATGAAAAAAATGATTGTTTCCTGCCGTACACTTTTTTCTCATATTTAGTAAATGTAAATCTGTCTATATTATATTATTTATATTATTACAACAGAATCTCATCTTTTCGTAATTTGTTATTTTGATTATGCAAGATCGGAGATTGTTATGTTTTCGGAATAATATTTCTGTGAATAATTTCTATTTCGAACTTCTATCTATCTGAAAGATGTATTCCGCGGATATCGTAATCTGCAAACGCTCAAGTACTATGTTCCGGTAAATTGTTGGTAGGGTCTGTTTAGTCTGTTAATTATTACCAGCTACATTATCTCTCCATTTCATAAATATCTTTGGATATGCGATATCTGCCAGCGATTTTTTAATAACGAGGCGTGAATAATTGATCACTGCGGCATAATACAACGATCTTTGTTTGCGCGAATTCACCGATGACTAATGACATTACGTCCTATTAGCTTGCAAAAGTCGTCGTACATTAATCAAATATTCTAAACAGTGATACACCGAATTGAATGATGATATTTTTGCACACCGTCGTTCTTGTCTTTAAATTTTTTAAAAGAGCAAGTGAAGAAAAATTATGGTATCGTAACTGAGAAAAAAAATTGAACGTTTTTGCAGAATAAGAGAATTAATTATTCGAAGATCTTCAAAGAGTAATTGAATCATAAAATCTTTAAGCTTCTCCTTTGAAACGAATTTACGCAATCGTAATCTCGTTAAATTTTTAAAATACTCGTTTTGTAGAAAGTTTTGTTAATTGACAGTATAGTTTAAATATTTTTGTATTCCTGATTTGTGTGTGAAATCCTTAATGTTTAGAAATTAAGTTTTTTAAAATCCGTGTTCACACACAAATCATTAATCTATTTAAAATGATTAGTTTAAAATTATCACCGTATGTATAAATTACAAATTTTTACAAATAAATTTTTACAAATAATGGTGTTTTTCTAAACAACTTTTTATGACATGTATGTTTTTCACATGACAGTTTTATTATCGTATCGATTGATGTATTTTGCATATTTAATCGTGGAAGGCTTACCACATCGCATATATCAATCTTTATCAAGAATTAAATTATTAATCCTCTCTATTAGAAAAACGTGTTGAAGTTATAGAAATTCTCGATTTAATTTTACTATCGATATCACATTTTACAATGTATGTATCAGAAGTTGCAGCTTGTAGTCATGTTTTCACGTGACTTGCATAATAATTAAATTGCATCTAGAAAAACTTTTAATTATTGCTTGTCCTTCGCCTCATTATCTCGCACATATCAAATCAATATTTCTATTGCTAATTCGATGTTAATTACGATTGGTATCGTAATATAGTTCTACCAGATCATAATCGGATCATTACTGAATGGAAATCGTTCGTTACTCGATGTGTGACGTCAATACCTTATTCTAATCTTATCTGATTAAATTATGCAGTGTTGAATTAGATAGAAAGAGAAAAGAGGAATGAAACGTGAAAATTTCATATCTTCAAACAGCTGTTTTTTACATTTCAGCCGTTAAAATTTTTCTTTTTCAAAAAGCTCAGCACAAATGAATCGGGATTTTGTCAATTATATCGAAATTTTAAAAATAGAACAGCTGATTTGAAAGATGGCGAAGGAGAAAGTTTGGGAGTGTTTATCGATGTGAAATGGAATACATATATACTAGACCTGCTTAATAATTGCATCGCCGAAACCCGTCCGAACTGACACAACCGGTTCCCAATCGAATTCGCGTTTCATGTGTTTTTCATCGTGTCGCAATTCACCGAAAATCATGACCTTATACTCTCAAATTTTGTGCAAAGATCGAAATAATGCGCGTCAGAAGAATTTTCCTCGATCCATCTTTCTCACATGCACTTAAAAAAAAGGTATTTAAAACAGAATACCTTCTTTCTCGGTTGATGCAATTATTCTAGGTGCATATTATGCACAACATAATATCCTTTCACTTTTAGGCTCGATAGGACGACATGAAAGAGAAAGGGGGAGGGAATCGTAATATCAATTACCTATGTAATACGATATGTTCAACAGCCACCGACTAGATAATTTATGACTAATAAGTGACTCATCTTCAATTAACTGATAAATATATGCATATGTATTTATCAGTTATATTTCTCTAAACAGACGTTTCAATAATTATAATAGCTTTAATTAAAATAGCAAACGTAAATTAGAGAGCTCTGGAAATGTCGTTTGATATGAAAGATACGTCATTACCGGAAGAGATAAGAGACGTTCGTAATAAATATACAATTTCATGTTATTCTCTCGGATTTTCATGCAATCACAATCGCGTTTAAAATATATTTAACTAAATTAAATTAAAATGAATTTAGATAAATTAAATTTTGCTTTTGAAGATTCTTCGAATATATGTGTGTGTATATATAACCCAAGTACATAATTATTAAATGTGAAATGTTTCAGATTTTTCGCACTTTTTTACATACAAATGTTTCGTATTCACGAAGCTATAGCATAAGTTCGCTTTAAAGTTAATACTGTAAAAGCAACGTAAACATCTATTTGTAATCTTTCAATACCAGAACAGATTTTATCATATGTCTCTATCATGATGTATACTTTGTACCCGATTCTTAAAATGAGTCGCAAAATGAGGTTACGAAGATATTTGCGAAAAAATTTATCATTACTTCAGTGAAAAATCTGCTTATTTATTGATTACGTCGTTGATATAGAATATTGTATTTACTCGAATAAAGCAATAAAGTAAATACAAGAACATTGTATTTACTCGAATAAACATACTTAATTGGTAACAAGCAATAAAGGATTCAAATATTCAACGAATATATTTTACTTTGAAAATAATTAAAGGACCTAACGTTAAACATTTACCTGCATATCTCTGATACCATATGAATGTATTATCATATTGCATCATTAGAAATGCGTTACAGAAAAAATATCTATAACAATATAACAAAATTATGAGAGAAAACAGATATCTTTCTTTTATATCAAATTTGTATTTATGGCCCATAATATTTCGTTTAATAAAGTTATCGCGTTAGCGATAACATTACTTATATAAATATCGATTATTGATAATTTTTAAAACGCAAACGAAATTTGATGATGTTCTTTCCGTAAAATAGTAGTTGGCGACATGTCCGGAAATAAAAATAAGCTGTTACTTTCCTGATGTGAAAGTGCAATTAAAACTATTGCCTTCGATCGATCCGATTTTAATATAAGTAAAATCGTGAATAATACAGATATATTATATATACGAACTTTTTAAATGTTGATCAAGTAATTAATAGTTAGATCTTTGATATTGTTTGTTATAACAATGAATGTGTACTATTTTATAGTTATATTATATAGATAATTCTGATTTACGCTTTTTATTTAATTTTTAATATATCTATGTTTTTCTCATTATGTGTGAAATTGTTATATTTATATAACAATTCCGAATTTTGTTTGAAACATTTTTTTAAAATCACTTGAGTAATATATTTCTATTGTAGTTTGATAGACTCAAACATTCTATACATCTTTTTAAAAATGAGCTAATAGTATTTAAAAAAAAATATAAAGCAATTTTTATTTCAAAGCATTAAGTATTCTGAGGTTATTTTTGGCTGACAATGAGATATAAATATCCTGTTTTTGTATGTAAATATAGAAAAACCAGTTTCAGGGTTAAGTAAAAGATCCTGAAACCAGAAGAATTCAATGCACATTTTATAATTTCGCTCTTTTTATTGGCATTCCT